AGTAGTAGTCGTCGTCGTAGCAGTACGAGTAGCAGGCAGTACTAGCAGTACTAGCAGTAGCAGGACTAGTAGTAGGAGGTGTAGTAGTAGTAGTAGTAGTAGTAGTAGTAGTAGTAGTAGAGTAGTAGTACTAGTAGTAGTAGTAGTAGTATTAGTAGTAGTAGTAGTAGTAGTGGTGTAGTAGCAGTAGTGGTGGTAGTAGGAGCAGTAGTAGTAGTAGTAGTAGTAGTCGTCGTAGTAGTAGTAATAGTAGTAGTAGTAGTAGTAGTAGTAGTAGTAGTAGTAGGACTAGTACTGTAGGAGTAGCCGCAGTCACCACGGCCGGTAGGAAAGGCAACCCCAGCCGAGCCCGATTGTACAACTTAGAAGCCAGGGACTCGGCAAACTTGAGTGTTGACGGTTGAAGCTAGGTCGCCAAGTGCGCCCAAAGATCCACGAAGGCAGCCGACTCCTGTTTCTTAAGTGCTCCGTGTTCCGTACTTGCTACTGCCAGCTGCAAGGCTGGGCTTCGCAGATACACTGCGGTGATCACCTGCAATGAAAGTGGTTCATGAAATAGAGCAGGAACTGCACTGTACTTGGTCGGACTCTTGCCGCCCGTTTCTCTTACACTTCTTTGCTCGTGTTTCTGGCCGTGCAACAAACGAATTAAAATGCATTTCATGCTAGCGAAGCTGGCCAACATGCACAATGCATGCAGGTATGTTGATACGGGAAGACTCCAAGTTTAGCAACAGCATGTTTTCAGCTGCAGCGGCTCGTTGTGGCTGCCTTCATTGCAGTCGCTGCTGCTACCGTTGCACATATGCCTCATATGCCGAAAAGTGCAAGCGTGAGTGCTGTCAACTCATTCAGCTTTTCTGGAGCTGTGAATCTAACAAATTCAGTGGCTGTTTGTATTGTTTGTAACAACCCTAAACGTGTGCTGGAATCTTCTCATCCAGTCTCAACCAGCTACGGTGTCGCGGTGACCTTCGCAGCTGTGCTCTTTTCTGACACTGACGCAGCAGTTCTATTCGCATCAAACATTGACCTCGTGTGCATGATGTGCCCCAATCGATAATTACTTCAGCTGGCGCAACGCTTGATAGCGTTCTGATACTGCTCGGTGCTAATAATCCCGCCAAAGCAGCCTATATACTTTGTTGCAAGCTTCTGCCGCGGCTTGCAGCCCAGAGTTTGGTGGTCTCAGGACAGCATAGGAACACTGATGGACAGCCCGCCTTGTGGGGCCACACGCGCCGAGTCATCATCTAGATGAGCTTCGCACACCCTCGCCATAGCAGAACCGCAGCAAGGCCAGAACACCAGAGGCAGAACAAAGCTCAACAGGGCGCGTAGTATTTGAGATGGTCGGACAGAAGGACTGCGTGCGAGCCGCCACCTATGTACAACACACGATCCAAGCCGCGACAGCAGGAGGAATCTGCAGCAAAAGACACCGATGAGGACTTAAACCAGTTTCCAGTGTGCACTGAATAATGCAGTCTGCGGAAACTCACGTTTTCCTAGTGACAGTTCTAGGGCTCTTGATGAGTACGTACGGGTGGGTGCGCGTGTCCAAGTGGCAAGAGAGGCTCAGGCGTGCCGATTTGGAAGGGTCGGCCAGTATGAATCGGCAGTGTCGATCAAGTCTTCGTTGACGTGTACGGTGCTGCGATACGTGTAGGAAGAGCAGCAAGATTCCTCATCTTCCTCGAGCTCCGATGTCGACGACTTCGGGTGTCGCCGTGCTGGTTTGCTGCGCTGCAGACGGTGTTGTGGTTTTTTGAGCATCGTCTTTGCAGGTTTCTGCGCTTCGTTATGCTAAATTTGGAACTGTTTGGAAAATGCTCGTGTGCTGGGGCGAGTCTGAGGAGTAAGGGGTTGAACTTGAACAAGAGCAGGGTTTCTTTTGCTTTCCTTGTTTTATGCATCCTGTCACCGCACCGTACGGCACCCAAGCGCCCATGCGCATGCGCACGCGGTTCCAGGAAGTCTGAAGCCGAGGAAGTGGGCTGGGTGCTCAGAGCCGACATCCTGCGCCTACACACCCGCCTAGCGAAGTGGGAGAGTGCCTCGGATCTAGAGCTTGCACTGAGGACCACCGCCAGCAAACATGTCGAGGCACTTGGGAAAGCCACTCCGCAACAACCCGCGACTCGGAAGTTGACCGAAGCATCGAATCTAGAGGAGTCGTTAGCCATCCCTGCGCACCTGACGAGTACGTCAACTTCATCTCGGCCTTTCAAAATATGTCCTGCTGACTCCCAGCTGCGAGACAGAGTGAGCAGATGTTGAAATTCTGCTTCAGCGTTTTGTCTGGGGTCGAGCGGACAGAAGTAGACGGAGCCTCTCAGAGATACTTGTAGTCGGTTTGCATGTGGCTTGTACATCCAAATATCGCACCTACCTTCCTGATGCCCCTGCAATTCGATTCTTGGATGAAACCAGACAGTCTATAGGCTTCATTATCAGGTTTCATCATCCTGGATGGTTTAGACTCGACTTATACCGTGTACATGGGCGATTCGAATAGTAATTAGTCTATTAACCAACTCACACGTACTCAAAAGCGCTGTTGCTGGTGCCATAGGTCTTGCGCCAGTACTGAGCTGCAACTATTCCGTGACCTGCTCCAAGCATGCTACACTGGCTGTCACTAGCCGCATGAAGTAATCCACGTCTCGTTTGTCGTCCAAGTTTCCAGCAAATGGCTCAAAGGATTGATCGTTTGGTCTGGATTGGCTTGCCTGCTCCTGTGCGAGCATCCAAAGAACAGACTATGCTTGCGATGAGAGCAAGCAGTGGCGTTTCACGCGGATCTGTATTCTGCTGTATGATCTGATCCTTCGAAGGCGGCGAATATCCACCGACGTGAACATGGAACTGCTTCGCAAAACCTTGGTCCAAGCCTGAGGAATTGGGAAGATGCAGTCAGTCTGCAGCTGTAAATGTTCAGTGTTCACTGTACGACGTGTACCTGAGGAAGAGAAGGCTAAAAGAAGGCAGGAGGCTGAAGAGAAGAAGCAAAAGGTGCACTTGCGAGAAGATATGGTGAGGTCCCGCTTTTGCTTTTCTATGTCGGCAGGCTCGATTCCGGCGGGCGGTTGCCAACTTTGCCATCCCATCGAGATTTAAGAGTGTTGCAACACTCCAGGAAGCTCAGTCATGTGTGCTGATTGAAGTTTTGAAATCCTTGCCAGATGGATGGTCCCTACATGACTTTGATTTCAGTGTGCTTGACTTTTTGGGCCCTTCTTGGGGACGACATCCGCATCCTCACCACAAACCGACCCGCTGACATCGGGTGTGGCCCTCAGCCTGTTCGTCACTGCTGCAGACTTTGTCGAATGCGCACAAGGACTTGACCCTTCTCTGTGTGACTCACTGGTTAATACCACGTGCATGTTGCTACTGTGCCGCCCAGGTTCAAGAAGCTGTCTGCATGCACGGTAACCGCTGTCTTGTGGTTTCCCGTTCAGTACAGTTCCGCTGCAGATCAAACCGGAGTTATCTGCACCTTCCATTGGCTTTACCTGGCCATGTCGGAGCGGCGGCAGAGTATCAGACGCACTGTGACCCACATGCTGCATTGGCTTAGGGGTCAAGTTCCAGGGTGCATGGCGTTTACAGGTATGCTGGGACGATGTCAGAGACAAAATCCACGTCCAAGGGCTCTGCCAGGCCAGGATGCGAGGGGGAACTCGGCAGAGCTCGGTGTCAAGGTTAGGTTGCAGTACCCCCATTTTGCAGTGTGAAGGTCGAGCTAACAGCTGCTGTCAGGGCCCTCGCCTTCGAGCTGCGTGGGAGGTGCCCCACACAGTGCATCAGGGCCGTAGACTTTAAGATCTCCTTCCTGCACGGGTAAGTGGAAGGCTGGGCATCTGGGCAGCCCAGGCATCTGATGAGGCAGGGATTATGCTCTGAGCATCTCCGCACCATCAAGTAGAGCATGCACAGGTGTTGGCCAGAGTGGAAGACAGGCTGAAGCACAACGTCGTCACGCAGGCCTCGTCGAAGAGCCGCCTCATGTCTGGCCTGCAGCGCCAGTAGTGGGAACTGTGTTGCATCGTTTTGCAGTCTTCTTGAGCAAACACTCCACGCTGTGTTGAGCAAAAGAGTGGGGCAGCTGCCCGGCCCCACGCGCAAAAACGAGGATGATGGGCCGCAAGAAGATGGGCAAGGCGCTGTAAAGCCTGCTGTTGGACATGGCCATGTCTCTGTTGAGCTGAAAAGAAGACTTTTGCAACAGTTCGCTGCTCGGCATGAGATTGTCGCCAGTGTTGTTCCCCACAGCAAAGAGAGAGCGTATGCAGTAGAGCTGACTGCAGGTGTTGAACACAACTCTGCTTCCGGGTTTGTGCGTAGGTCGACGAATGCTGCACAGAGACAGAGATCGACACCCCATGTGTGCTACAACAACAACTGAATGGCGCACATGCAGCTATCATCGGGCATCTTCCTAAAATGTCGTCTCTTGTCACTGACGTGTTGCTGCGAGTACTGTCTTTCCTGCATGAAAGGTTTTGAATTAAGCAATAATCTACTAGAAGTCACTGGTTTGGTCGTGGTGATGGTAGTAGTAGTAGTAGTAGTAGTAGTAGTAGTAGCAGTAGTATATAGTAGGCTCAGCAGGAGAAGCAGTACTCTTAGTCGGACGTAGCAGCAGCTGCATCAGCAAGATTCTCGCCCACTTGCTTCAGAAGTCCTAGGCCTCCGAAAGCGTCTAGCGAGTTTGAGCACGCACCCACCCCTTCTGGAAGACACTGAATCTTCAACCAATGCCTGCTCCTAGGTAGTGTTAGGGAGACTCCCGAAAGGGGACCCTTCTTATTTAACCTTACTTATGGCTCTCTTAAAGGGGACCTTATTGAGAGGGTCTATCCCCCCCAGGGTCCCCCAATCCGAACTCCTTTCTACGGTAGCCTACTGACAGCGCTTGGGTTTTCCTCGCAGCAGGACGACGATCCCATCTCTGCTGACACGTTCTGCTCCCGGGCAGCGATGGTCATGCACGAGGCGAATCAAGCTCACACCTTGAACCGTGAATCCTCAACCTTCCTTCTAAGGGAGGGTTTAGGGTTTGAGGTTTAGGGTTTAGGGGTTTAGGGTTCAGGGGTTTAGGGTTCAGGGTAGCTCACAACAGAAGAGCCCTCAACCTCACGTTTTAGGGTTTAGGGGTTTAGGGTTCAGGGGTTTAGGGTTCAGGGTAGCTCACAACAGAAGAGCCCTCAACCTCAAATAACAATGGCAATGAAAGTCGTGGTGCTGGCGATGGTAATAGGAACAACATACTAGTAACACTGTTAAGTGTTAGGTGTTCAGCGCCGCAATTTCGAGTATGAGGTGTTTTGGGGCGTGAGGGCCTTAGGGGATATGCCAGCATAGACAGTATGCGGGATAGATTTAGAGTTCTGTGGGTATGAGCCACGGGTGACAGGTGAACGACACACCGCTGCTGCTGCGCTATCGGGTCTGCCACGCTTGGATCTCAGAGATTAGAGGTACGCTCGTCCTTGATAATGTTCAAAAATTGGGGGGGGGGGGCCCGAATGATTAGTAATACTGATGTCCTAGTTTGCACTTTGGGAAACTTTATAATTTCACTTATGGCGTACATAAATAGGCTTGGTGGACGCAAGACTACAACCCAGTATCCCTAAATAATCCGTATCTACATCATGGTCTAGCCCTAAGGGTCCAAGTAATCCTGATTTCTGGCTTTGGGCACCCAAAACCCTATAATAAGAGCTACTTGGACCCATAGGGTAACGTATCGCCCCAAAACCCGATGCTGAGTCTTTTGGCGTTGAGGGCTGTGGAGTGCTGCAAGGCTTTCGGATCCGGGGAAGCTCTGAAACCCGTAGCTCCCCCAGCCCTAGCCCTTGAAACCTAGTAGAGTCTACACCCTAAACCTTGGAACCTGCTAAACGCTGAATCCTAAAGCCCCACTAATGCCTAAACCCTAAATCTCTAGTAACCCAAAACCCTGAACCCTAAATCCCACTAGCCAAGGGCAAGGTCGCACACAGCCGGCGAAGATTACCAAAAAGAGCCTTGTTTTCTTCCTCAGAAAGCTCCTGCTCAGACGGAACAAAACACAACACCGAGCTCAACGGTTGGAGGAGGCCACCATTGATAATGGTAATATAGGGCCAAAATAGCATAGGTGATTATTTAGGCCCCTACAGTAACGTTGATGCGGAGCTGCCAAAGTACTAACACTGTGCTACGCACCTATGCATGTGTATGTTGTTTTTTATAAGGGCCATGAGTGTACATGTTAATGTGATAAGTACCTACACATGAATGTTGCATGATCATATGGTAGGCATGCTTAATTGTGGTACGTACGCTGTACCCAGCACACACACCCGGCCACTTCCGAGCGAAATGAAACAACGCGAAGTAGTTTATGCATCGTTCTGCTTAGTCTACAACTTGGGCTCCCCGAAGTCTCTGGCGAAGTTCTGCCTGCCGTGTTCTGATGTATTGAGTTGGAGCGTGGCTGTGAGTTTCCACTTGATTCTCAATTTGTAGC